ACATGTCCATGGGGACATGTCGAAGGATTTGAGTGAACGTTCTAGGTGAATGTGTGTGTTTATCAAGAATAATGTCAATTCCAAAGTGTATCACTATTCTACTAGTCAATCCCTTTTATTTGGTACCCATATTGAAGTAGTTGTGAAACAAAATGTAATCCAACATTTTGTAGCTGCGCTCATCTTGAATTTGCATTTTGTTCAAAGTTTACCACTATTCTACCTATCAAGTCCTGTCATTCGATACCCATATTGAGGTAGTTGTGGAAAAATATGTAATCTACCATTTTGTAGCTACGGCCATCTTGCATTTATGATTATACTGAATTCATTAAACTGTAATATCATCAAAACTGAATGTGTGTACCAAATTTAGATCAATCTGTCAACAGGAAGGAAGTCAAAGTTCAATTTCTAAATTTGGCCCAAACAGATAATTAAATATACAAACAAACAAACAAACGAACAGGACAAATTGAATAAAACCGTTCAATAATGCTTGAAATATACTGATCAAAGAACAGAATGAGAGGTTCACGAATGATGTAGGAGATTTTCCTGAGCTGAGTGAGTGATATTGAGTAAGTGCTAATGCAAAATTTGGGTTTTTCATCAACTACCAAAATTCACAAGGTAGTTTGTAGAAATTATTCAATTGAGTGAATTTTGTATAGGAATCGTCTAGTATTCTTCTTCTCCACATTGATAAATATCTTATTGGGCATCATCAATATACAATACATCAAAAAGCTGATAACAGTCATTCTGAATAATTGCCCCAATACATAGGTATCAACCATATTAAAAATGATCAATGAAGTATTCACTGTTTCATTCAAAACAAAAATGATTTTATGTTCACGTATCTGAATAATTGTAAATGTAATTTTTTTCATTTTGTGAATTTTTGAATAATTTTGAATAAGAATTTTGACGTATCATATTTTTTATCAAATATTGAACACAGACGAATACATTTCGAATCTATCACCAATCAGAAAATGTATTCATAGCTATAACATAATTAAGCTACCCAAACGAATCAAAGATATGGGACAAGTTTGAATAACTTTCATAAATCTCTTTGAGGCGAACAAGATGGTTTTATGGAAAACTTCAATATCTGTAGTAGTTTTCTAAATTACACTTCTGAATTTGTCATTATTTTCTGTACTACTGAAACTAAAAACTATAACCAAGTGAGAGGTTTGAAAATATCTCATGAACTTTTTCGTCACTGAAATTTTTGGAAACATCATTTCGAAAATTTGACAGTTAAACACGTTTTCTTGGAGCACACCCCAACTCTTTCATTTGGAGAGATAGATCAGTGGTTACTTCAAAATCGGAAAACGATTTTTTTAAAATTTTGTCATCTGTTTGTGTGCGCGAAATAATCTGGGCTTTATCTTTTTGAAAAAATCAACTATCGATTGGTAACTCGTAAATATTGTAGAATCGATTGAGTTTCGGTAACCTATTGAGAACGAGTTGAATGTTTTCCGGATATTTCCAATTATTTTTTTTATTCAATATCATAAAAGCTTCGGAAATTCAGAAAACAAGAAATTTTTGATCTTTTTCTAGTTCGAAAAACTAGAACTGGAATCTCTTACCCATTCATTATATTCGATAAATATAACGTGTTCATGGAACATGTGCTTTCTTGCTTCTAGATTGTTATATTCGTCATCAGCAAAACAATATACTATTACGGGTGGGATCTTTCCGATTTCTCTGAACACTCTGTACTCCAATATGAAAGATGGATTGGGATCGATTATAAAATTTCAGATGAACAATATTGGAAATATAGGAACACTCTGTGTTATGAATCACACGTTAGAAGGTAAGACCTCGTTGGTCCTTAGCTCGCACAAGTTTCGACTTTTGAGATTTGTCGTTCGTAGGGGTGCGACAACTGGTTAATGGAAAAACAAATATAAACAGAAACACATTTAAACTCCTGTGTATGATTCACTGTCGTCAAGGAGATTATGACATATGATATGTAGTTTTTGGTAATTTCCAATATTTCGAAGTAATTATGAAAAAATTGCGCTACATACTAGACAATTTCATATTATACTATAATTCCAGAATGGTAGATTCTGAATTCTCAGAAAGGAATGACGTTTTTACCTCAATCTGTTTCTTGCAGCTGCGTACGGAAATTATACTAAACAGATATATACAGTGCATTTCTTCAATGTCCCGCACCCTTTTATTTTTTAACGGGTCAACTTCAAAGAATTGAAATTTGGAATAATAAAATTATTGCATGAATACTTTATTTTGAAGAGAAATTGACAGATGAAACTTTCAAGATGGCGACTGGGTGCCGTCTGGAAAAAAATTGAATGGAAAGGGGGTCTTGTGAGTCATCTTTTTGAAGCTCCTGCCGAATGCTTCACAACTCTAGAGTATAATGTCAGTATCTTCAAGTACTACAAAATGGCGGACCTTTCGAAAATTGACTGAATACATCGACATTTAACTACATAATATGAGGTAATAAGCTTGAGGTTAGTTCAAAAGATGCTCGAACTTCTTGACATATGAACAGCCTATTCGATATTTCATGCCGAACAATTCCGAACACGTCAATATCACTGCAAATAACTATTTATTATTCTCTGTCGTATATCCAATATTGAAGAAGGTTCAGTTGCGTACACCTTTTGCTTCAAATCCAAATCCAAAGGTGTCAAATCTGGCAAGCGGACTGGCCATTCTGTAGGACCTCGATGGCCAATCAACGACCGAAAAAAGTAGTGTCCAAATAGTTTTATACTTGTCTGGAGTAATGTGGTGGTGCTTCATCTTGTTGGAACACAATATCCATATCAAATTCATTAGGATTCGCTTCGACGATTTCACTGATGAAACAGTAGTTTCCAGCATATTCAAATACAGTTCCCCTGTTGAATTTTGTTCGATAAATAGAGGTCCTACAATATGGTTCCACAGTACTCTTGTCCAAACGTTAATTTTTTCTAGATATTGGGTATGTGTTTCCCGGAAAACGTGAGGCTTGGTGTCACTCCAATAACGGCAATTTTGTCTGTGAACATTGCCGTTTGAAAAAATTGTACATTCGTCACTGAAACAAATATTGTGGAGTTGCAATGGTTTCCGCCATGATTTTGCAGAATTCTGTTCTTCGATCAGGGTCATCTTCAGTTAATTGGTGTACCATTTTAATTTTTTATGGATGCTACCCATTCCTCTTCAAAAGTCTCCACACAATAGAAGACGGAATAAGTTGACTGTTCAGTTCTGCTAGTGAAACCGAAAACTAAATCAGAATTTTCTAATATAACAATGATGTTCATTGTCGTACTGACATTTTTTGTCGTCTTTATAAACAAAAAATTATTCAAACCAACATGTTTGCACACTCTAGATCCAGGTGATCAAGAAAAACGTTCGGAATTTTGCTAATGGGGCCATGTCGAGTACCTTAACGACATACATTTTTTTTAAATTAATTTATGAAGTGGTGAAGCTATTTTCTCAACAAATGCAGTGGTTTCATCACAAAATATTTGATATTGGGCCACTGATTATCCTAACTGGGTGATCAACTGTAACAGGCAGTATCCAGAAAAAGTAAATGTTTGGTGTGAAATACTAATTGAAACAATAATTGGACCATTCTTTTTTGACAGCAACATCAATGCCGCAAATTTATCACAATTTTTATGGAATGAATTGTCGGACGCAATAGATGAACTTCCCCTTGTAGAAACAAGAAATTTATATTTTCAGTTAGATATCTGTTCTGTTAATAATGCGGGAATTGTGAAGAGTTGGCTCAATCAAAACTACCCTAATCATTGGATAGGGCGGGGGAGCAGATTAATTGGATGGCGTCCTAGATCGCCTGACCTTACTATGAATATTACTGAAGTTTTATCCCAACATCAAATCGTAACATAGCCCCATAGGAAAAAATCCAGTATAGTAAAGTCATTGTGATTCACTGTTTGGAACCTTTGGTGTAGTAATGATAATTACTGGAGTTTTTTCCCAACACCAAATCGTTATTTTTAACACCTCGACACGTATTTCGATCACCAAGTGATCATCTTCAAGAGGAAGATTAAACAGTTTGATATTCCTCTTGAAGATGATCACTTGGTGATCGAAACACGTGGCGAAGTGTTAAAAATAACGATTTGGTGTTGGGAAAAAACTCCAGTAATTATCATTACTACACCAAAGGTTCCAAACAGTGCATCATAATGACTTTACTATACTGGATTTTTTTCTATGGGGCTATGTTACAGAAAATGTCTACAAATCACGACCAAGGCATCGAGCGAAACTGTGCACAAGAATTCAGCAAGCGTGTGCTGCAATTACTCTGCAAAAATTACGGAATACTTAAAAAAAATGTTCGCAAGCGAAGTCTTGGTGGAGGCTACAAAAATTTGAATTGCACTCATTTTAGTTTTAACTTGTTATCATCTCCGATCCTATTATGTGCATTGGATAAGATATTGTTTTTCACTAGTTTGTAGCAATTCGAAATAAATGCAGGTTTTTTATTTNTTTATTAAAAATAAAAACATCGTGGGTGAAATTGTTTTGATTTTTGAAATTTAAACTGTTTGTTGTTCAAATCATTTCCTTTTCAGATTACAATCTGTTCACTACATAAATCATTATTTGTGTACTTTTTCAAAATTCACTGTTTATTTCTTCTCTTTTTTCAAATATTATTTCCTTTTTTTTTGTTAACTAACTTGTTGAAATATTTCCATTGTGGCATTTTTAGTAATCAGTATTTCTTTAATTTTTTTTCTCCCGTTAGATTTCAAATCTGCTTTAGACAATAGAGTTAATGAATCTTTCGAAAATCAAAGTAATGTCGTTCAGTGGAAGCAGACATGATTTCATTCATTACGTATAACTCAATCTATTTGGGTTAATTTCTTCTCAAACCTCCTTTCATTCTACTCTTTTTCTGATTTCATTATTGAAATCCAAATTGTCAATGAGAATATCACTCAATTACTCAACATACCTTCATTATTAGACTGTTTTCCAACTAAATTGTATCCAGGTAGTGTTGTGAACATAACAATATGCAAATCGGGATATTTATCCTGAAAATATGATTTCCATGCCACAACCAAGCTTGCAGGAGCCAAATCTATTTTATTCAAAACCAAAATGAAGTCCTTCTTGAGAGTTCCAGTAACATAATGATATAGTGAAGGAGGAAACAGAAGTACCTGAAATAATTATAGATTTATATATTTGAATATATGGATGCAATTCACTTCAATATTCAAAATATGAAACAATATGGAAAAAATCATTCGCTATTTTCTATTTATTCAATATTTACCTTACGAGTTTTAATATATAAAAAATGCCAACTTACAGGAAATCGGATGTCTACAATGAATAAAATTATATCAGACATTTCCAGAACCCTCCATAATTGTCTCCACGTTTCCAAATTCAACTCAAACAAACTCAAGTCTTTTCCTTCGAACTGTTGAACAATTTTATCAACATAGTTCTGAAAAATACATCTTTTAAAATTTTACACTTGGTGTAACATCAATTAGAAGTGGCAATGAAATGAAGAAAACAATGTGCTATATTATATTATTACTTCACATAAAAAAATAGAGTTTCCAAATGACAAAAGTGGATTTATCACCGAAACTCTATAACAAAGAAGTTCAAAAAAACCAGATTGGCAAGATTCATTAATATACAAACAAAATATTTTATTTTCGAGGGTTATGTTGTATGTTTTGTAGTACCAAAATGGCTCATTAAATGTATCTATCATTCTTTCAGTGCAAGTGACGCTGTTTTCAGACGGGCTCGATTCTGCATGTGAAGCAATTTCAGTTCTAGTTTCAGTAAAAAGTGATTTTTCACCCCATTTCATACCCATTTCAATTTCATAATTATATAATTTCAAATCATAATTTGGGAAATATTTCAATTTTTCTTTCTTAACATTTGATACTATACAAAGAAGTTTTGAAACAAAATTAGTATCAGTTTTGGCAATAATGTCGGCCAATGCATATGTAAAATATAAAATTTGTTTCTTTGAAGAAACTCAAAGTGAAAATTATACTTATAACTTTCAATATAGTAGAAATACAGTATATGAACACATTAACTGATCTCATTGTAGAAATTTCTTGAAATAAGATTAGATGAAAGACAAAGTAAAAGTTCAATCTATGAAGCTTTCTTTATGTTTCCTTATACAGTGTGTCCAAGCTAAAACTTGTTAACCTCCTAATCGGCATGAAAAAAATTGAAAATCGTTCAGTTAAAATCAAATATAAGTGTTGAGTCAATGACATGTTGTGAAAGTGTTGAGTCAATGACATGTTTACTCACAGTAAAATATTTATTTTCTTGTGCTTCCAATCTGCTCTTGCTCAATTCAAAATCCCATGGAGGTCTTTTTGGAAAATCTAAAACTTCATCAAAAAATATATCTCCATCAACTTCTAAATCTTTCTCGGTCTTAGCTTCCAAACTTTGACGGGCTACTTCTTTTTGTTTTGCTATTTCTTCATTACTTTCTCTGAAGAACTGCAAGGCGTATCTATTTGATTTTGATCTAATATCTTTGGTAGGCTGGAAATTAGTTTTCTGAATGCTGCTGGAACTTTGCTCTTTATCTTCCAAAGACTGTAGAAGAATAGGACCTACAAAAATGATATTGAAGGAATGTAAAACTGAAGCTCAAAAAATGTTACAAATGAACTATCCCATATAAACTTTTAGAGAACTGTATTGTGGTGTGTTCCTTATGGTTGGGATCGATGTGGGGGTGGGATGATATATTAGAGAAAGAAAAAAAGTAAAAATGAATAACAGGATCTTAAAGTACTTATGATGCACTGTTTGGAACCTTTGGTGTAGTAATGAATATTACTGGAGTTCTTTCCCAACACCAAATCGTCTTCCTCTTTGAAGATGATCACTTGGTGATCGAAACACGTATCGAGGTGTTAAAAATAACGATTCGGTGTTGGGAAAAAACTCCAGTAATATTCAGGATCTTAAAGGTCAAACCTCTTTCAAAAATTGAACATGATAGGGTAGCGTTGCTAGATGAATGTTGTGAATATAGTAAATTTCAAGCAGCTAACAGAAGAACTATAATACCAAGATTGATACGTTTTTGCTGAAATAACGTATAGTCATAAATACATGTTATAGGGTTATATATTTTCAATTCATCAGTTCAAATGAAATGTCTTTAACAAAAATAATGAACAGGACCGGAACCAAGTTAGTATGGTATGCAAGTCCTGAACCAGCAACTCTGCTGCCATGGCTCTAATTTTTACAAAACCACTAAAGTATTATTCTGATTTATGTATAAGACTCAACAATGTACTAAATGAATAACTGAAAATATATCTACTACACCTTGTTTAGATTGCTTTTTTGTCTTGAGTTGTTCCTTTTTCGCTTTTCCACTGAAGGGAACTTTCCGTTTGAAAGTTTTCTGTGGCATGGCAATATGAATAACAACAAATAAATATTAAAGTATTTTCAGGTGAATCAAAATTCAAATATATAAAACTGTCAATGTTATGATGTCAAGTAAGATAGGAATCTAAATGTCAAGGGAAGACAGGTTATGTTCTTCTTCTTTGCCTTTTATAAAAAAACAAAAAGGTGCGTTCAGTGTTTACTTTATACATATCTGCTGAGATTTTGATTTGAATCTACAGGGATATTCAAATTTAGGTATATCCATGAAGATCTCGTAAGTGGTAAGAGATAGAGAGTATGTTGAATCGTGGCAGAGTTATCTATTTTCGACTAGTGTTGAATGATATTGAAAAATCTACTGTTTTTTTGTCTCCAAAATAGCTAGAGGGAACACTGATTTGGCAATCCCTTTGAAATTTTGAATGCGGACCTGTATTTTTGATCGGTAATGTTTCTTTATATGTTTATCCGATAATATTCAGAGTGTTGGTATTATTAGGGACCTTTTTATTGCAGACTTGAGAATCGCTTGAATGCTAGCAATTCTTCCTCTCTAGTTGGAGGCAAAATCACGTAGTTTTTCCCACGATTTTTCTTGTTCTTCACTCAACCAGTCCATCAGAATATTATTTGGATTACAATACTCACAGAAAATCACCCAAAATTCGTTGATATCACAAACCTATAGAATTTTGAAATTTTCGTATTTCCCTTGTATACAGTGTGGGCGGGTTGGCTGTCTTTGTTCATCTTTCACTGCTTGAACCACTGTGCATGCTGTTTTTGGCGAGTGTATTAGCTTGGGATGTGGAGATTGAGCAAACCGGCCATCGGATGCCTGCTTCCACGTTAGCCCCGCTGGATACGGGGATGACCAAATCACTTGTGGTTCAGTTATTCCCTAACTGAATGGCATACCAACGGTGGCTTAATCCTATGATGTGTGTATCCGTGCCGAGAAGATGAATGACATTGAGCCTATCCAGCTGTCTCTACCTACGGAACCTTCGAGATACCGGGCTCCCCCTCGCGTTGGAGATGCCGAAATGAGTTATTTGGAACAGTTGCTTAGAAATTGATTTTGATCCTACATACCGGATTTCAATGCAAAATTCGAAATTTGAATTTTTTGTAATTTTCATATTTAAGTCCGATTTTCAACTAATAGTTCGTCTTCGGGTGAAGATTGTGGATACTAATAATCGAAACGTCGTGACGTAACTTGGTTTGGAATCTTTCAATTTCTAGTTTCATTTCTTGTTAATATTTTTTATTTTTTATTTATTTTCGGCTTGTATTAAGTTTCTTTGTATTTCCAGCTTTTTGTTTAATAAAAATGTTATTTTTCGGTTAATCTTTTTAATTTCTTTCAGGGATTTCAAATCAATTTATATTATATTAGACAATGGAAGTCCGAACTGGTGAAATACACCTCGAAACATTGTCAACCACCTTCAAACTAACTATTTTGACCTGGAAATAAAACAAAATCAGTAATGGCGAATTATTCAAATTAGTTTGACCGTTCATAAGATATTGAGAGTTTTTGAATTTGTTTATAATCAAGGTAAGATTATACAATTTAGGTCAAAAACTTACGCATTCAGTGTGATACTAGCCGCCGTGGCAAAATTTGTGCGTGAATGTTTTCCTAAACATTTTCCTAAAAGATATCTAAAAATATAGCCCAAGCTGTTGCCATCGGGAATTGCTAGAGTTCTATAATCATTTGTCTCTACTCTCAAAGGTTTATAGGGATTTTTTGGAACTTCCACAAGAATCTTCACTCTATTTATGTCAGCATCTGTAATATTAGATAAAATCTCACTAGTATCTTCTAGACAGTTAATTCCTTCTGCCTGTGTGAAATACTGAAGAGTAAATATGTTTTTTAACGCTCTGGTAATTTGAACAGGAGTTGGGTTTCTGGCATTTCCACAAGTATTTCTCTGGTGACCAAAATAATTTTCCACACAGTCCTCATTTATATTCCTCGTCAATATGTAGGAGTGTTCTTCACTATGTAGGTTTTCTCAAAGTTGCAGAAATGCCGAAATTGTTATCTGCCACCCCTCAATGAATCTCATTTGTCCAGTAGTGTTTTTCCCTTTTTTTGATATTACTGTTAATTTGCTGAAAAATATTTTCATTTCTTTCAGAAAATCAATTTGATTTGATGTTTCGAAAAATGGTTTATTAAAATGTTTGACATCGTCAAATCGATTTGTATTCAAAATATCAAACACTTTATCCATTTTTTCAATGAATGTAGCCGTCCCTATTGCTGCTGATGGTATCTGATTGAAACTGGCATAAATATTGTAACGAATTAAAGAATCAACTGTCTTAATCAAATTTATTTTTAACAATATTTCACTATCACAACTAATTTATATACAACTCTTAGTAACTAACGCTTAATTTATCTTCACAATTAGATTCCTTTCTTTAAACGCACGATTCACTTTCTAAGTACAGACTACTCCTCGGGACGGAGAGCGACCTTTTTATATTGTCAACTAACGTTCCGGATCTCTCTGCGGATTTCGGGGCCCATTCGGACTTTTCGCGCTGTTTCGCGATGCATCATGCGTTTGCTGACTGGGACATCGGTCAGGGCCGGCTTCAGATTCATTACATTGCCCCCTTCTTAAAGACGTTTCGCCCCGAAATGTCATCCTTGGCTTGTGTCGATACCTGCAGAACTCTCCATATTTGCACCGTGAAGTTCGATGGAAGTAACACTCCACAGTATTTATGCTCGGTCGTGGAAGATGGTTACCACACACCAAAATCTGGATGCCGCTGGATCTGAAGATCGTTTCCAACATGCTTCTCACAATCCTCCAGTCCAGCCTGTCGAGCCCAGAGGCTAATTTCGGGATTGCCAACTCCACGAGATTCTGGTCGAGCATCGTCTCCTTCAGTCTAGTAAGACTTCTCCAGACATCTTCATAGGACGGTTTGTCTCGAGAATGCTTTTTGGTCACCAAGTAGAAGATGTTTCTCTCCATAGTGCTCCAGCTTTTTTATCAGTAGATCATGGGAAACGCAGTCAAAGGCCTTACTGAGATCTACTAAGGTGATTGAAGTATAAGTACCTTCTTCAAAACTCTCCGAGATATTAGGTTCAATAATGCTACTAACATATAAATCTGATTTCAAATTTGTCAGGCAGGATATTATCGATACAACCAGTCGGTCTAGTTAAGTCAGATATGGTTATATCTAAATTGAAAGATGAAAGTAGGCAAGTGAATTCATCCAATATTTTAGATTTTTTTCGAAATGTATATTGAAGTCGCCAACTATAATTAGTTTATCATACTTGTTCGCTAAGTAATTTAAGAGTCCTTCAAATTGCGTCAAAAAATATTAACATCACCCAAGCAGGATCTGTAAAGTATAACTATGACAGTTTTCAACGGTAGTACTTCTATCACGCAAAATTCCGCATTGATTTCGGAGCAAAACATTTTCAGATCTATATTATTAAACTGGATTTCAGCTCGCACAAATATGGCAACACCGCCATGCTTGTTGAGTTGTCTACAAAAGTGATTAGCCAGATTATAAGAGTTGATATTTATATGTGAGATTTTATCATCATTGAGGAAATGCTCTGAGATACAAACTATATGAAATTTTTGTCAAGTAAGAAAAATGATAATTCATCCACCTTATTGGATAGGCATTGTACCTACCTACATTCAAGTGGAATATACTCACAGCTGAATTTAATAGTATTGATGGTATTGTTTTGCTGCAGGAAGATTTGTTGGACTCTTTAATTACTACGTCGTTGGGGCGATTTGAGATAATATTGGGTATGAAAAACACTTGTCAGTGCATGTTTTTTCGTTGCTAATGTCTTCTGGGAATACTTCTTTGTCCGATATTCCACTCAATTCTTCTGTCAATGATTTCGAGTCCTAGTTAGTTGTATTTCTGCTGACTTCGTGCGTGCCGTCCCTAAACACAAGATCATTGATAAATTGATTTTTAGGCGTGATAATACTCCTAATCGCCTTACATAGATGAAATTTACCACTTATTGATATATTGTGACCATTTCGTTGGTAATTCGATCTCCTCAGAATGTTGTTACATTTAAGAACACAAGTGTGATTCGCCTTCATGTAATGTAATTCTTTTTTAACCTTTAAATTACTAAGGTAGATTTTGTGGTTAATTTCCTCGTATTGGTCATATCGATACGGTTCAGTGATTATTATGACATTGGTATGTTCCATTTTTGATGCAAATCCAAGATCTTTAGTCATCCGGTCCATCCAAATTATTACGGTGTCAAGCTTATTGAATGATTTTGTATGACTCAGGGCAGTGTTTATTAAAGTTTCTGCTGTTTTAGGAAAGATTGAAAAGAATATTCACTTTTCAATGTGACAACATATACTTTGCTATATCCCTAGCATGATGCCCAGCAAACAACATTATTTTATGGTTATGTGTTCTCGTGCGGTTGCAACCGTTAAGCAGCACGTTCGTACTTACACGTTNTGAATTAGGAAAAGCCACCGTTCAACTCCGTCGTTGTTCACATTCATCAAATTTCATCTAGGCTAAACTTGTATCAGATATCAAAAAATGCGTGTTTGGAATACTGGAGTCGAGATATGTACAAAAAAAAGTTTTTCCTTTTATTGTACTAGTAGTTATATTTCTGAATGTTTGAAAATGTGAGTTAGGGGTCATTCTGTTCATTTCTGTTCTGTTTGTTCTCTTTATTGAATACTTTCATTTATATAAGTTTGAAGTTGGATTTGGTATGATACCAGTCATGGTAATTGAATTGAAATGTTACCACAAAAGTATTTCGTGGCGAGGAGATTACTGGGAAAACTTCATATTAAATGGTTAGATATTTGTTTATTTATACCATGCTTATAATGAAGGAGGAATAAAAGATTAAAATGGTAATAATTCACAGTTATATTTATTACCCATATGTCTAAAAACACACAAATAATAGTCAGCAAAAAATTATTCATCATACAAAATATACGTTTATAGTATGTAGTAAATTAAAATATCAACAACAACAGGAATAGACACATTTTAAAATTGAGAAGTGAACACGAAAAATTCACTCAAGAATCTATCAAACATGAAGCGGAACTAAACGACCTGATT